GTGGACTTCAACTCCCAGAATTCCTGAGCCAGCATGAGGGAACTATGGCCCCTTCATGACTCGGGGCCTTCAACTCCCAGAATTCCTGAGCCAGCATGGGGGAACTATGGCTCCTTCATGACTCGGGGCCTTCAACTCCCAGAATTCCTGAGCCAGCATGGGGGAACTATGGCCCCTTCATGACTCGGGGCCTTCAACTCCCAGAATTCCTGAGCCAGCATGGGGGAACTATGGCCCCTTCATGACTCGGGGCCTTCAACTCCCAGAATTCCTGAGCCAGCATGGGGGAACTATGGCTCCTTCATGACTCGGGGCCTTCAACTCCCAGAATTCCTGAGCCAGCATGGGGGAACTATGGCCCCTTCATGACTTGTGGACTTCAACTCCCAGAATTCGTGAGTCAGCCTGGCTCAGCATGGCAACCTCTCCCTTTTCCCTCAGCATGGCTGGCTCAGGAATTCTGGGAGTTGAAGTCCACGAGTCACAAAAGAGACAAGGTTGCCTTCCCCTGCCCTAGAATATAGCATACAATGCTGGGCTCTCCATTTGAGATTCTTTGTTTGTAGAATAAAAGATTCTTTAAGGTAAACAATGCCTCGAAGATCTTTTGGAGGGTTTCATTTGTCGGAACCCTGACACTTGTCTACTTTAAAAATGTGCGAACTTCAACTCCCAGAATTCCCTAGCCATGTTTAGAGTATACCACATTTGATTTATTTTATAATTGCCAATAGAGAACTGCAGCTACTTCTCTTTCTCCATCCTGATGGCATTTCCTGTCGTTGTTGTTTTTCCTTTCCTTTTTATTATTTAATGTTGCTGGTCATTGAGCGAATAAATAAATACATTTCCCCCCAAAAAATCCACTAAACGAAGAACTAGGCTAATTTATGGGCTACCATTTCTGATTCCATTTTTCAAAATATGACAGTCGTGGCTAACTCTTTCCGTGTCGGTTTTGTGTCTTCACAACAGTATTTAAGGAACTTCATCATCGGGGGTCCCCCGGGGTACGCCCCTTATTGCGAAGAGCGGCTGAGAAGGACGTTTGTCAACGGGACCAGGACGCAGCCCCCAAGCTGGCTGGAGCTTCAGGTAGCCATTTTGAAGACACGCAAAGCTGAAACTCAGAAACAGCCCAGATTTTGTCTGATCCAGGCGCGGTTTCGGATTCTAATTGCGCTGCCTTTGCTGCCAGTCGCCTTTTACAGTCTTGGTTTCTCCTGGCAGGCGACCAAATCGAAGAAGCCTATCATGCTTCCGGTCACGTTTATGGACGGCACCACCAAGACCTTGTTAACCGACTCGGCCACCACAGCTAAGGAGCTTTGCAGCTCGCTGGCCGACAAGATAAGTCTGAGGGACCACTTTGGCTTCTCGCTTTACATCGCCCTCTTTGACAAGGTAGGAAGCAGCGGTGGGAGAAAAGAGCTCCAGGATGTTGGCTGGGGAATTCTGGGAGTTGAAGTCCACACGTTTTAAACTTGCCAAGGTTGGGAAACCCTGGTTTAACATCTTACCCAGCTGGCTTTCATACCTAAGTTGGGATTAGAACACACTGTCTCCTGGTGATTGGCCCAAAGTCGCCCAGTTGGCTTTCATGCTTAAGGTGGGACAAGTGATTGGCCAAAGTCACCCAGTTGGTTTTCATGCCTAAAGCGGGACTAGAACTCACCGTCTCCTGGTAATTGGTCCAAAGTCACAAGTTGGCTTTCATGCATAAGGTGGGACTGGAATTCACTATCTCCTGATAACTGGCCCAAAGTCGCCCAGTTGGCTTTCATACCTAAGGTGGGACTAGAATTCATCGTCTCCTTGTGATTGGCCCAAAGTCACCCAGTTGGCTTTCATACCTAAGACAGGACTAGAACTCACCGTCTCCTGGTGATTGGCCCAAAGTCACCCAGTTGGCTTCCATACCTAAGGTGGGACTAGAATTCACTATCTCCTGGTGATTGGTCCAAAGTCGCCCAGCTGACTTTCATGCCTAAGGTGGGACTAGAACTCACCGTCTCCTGGTGATTGGTCCAAAGTCACACAGCTGGCTTTCATGCCTAAGGCGGAACTAGAACTCACCGTCTCCTGGTGATTGGTCCAAAGTCGCCCAGCTGGCTTTCATGCCTAAGGCAGGACTAGAACTCCCTGTCTCCTGGTGATTGGCCCAAAATCACCCTGTCGGCTTTCATGCCTCAGGCGGGACTAGAACTCACCGTCTCCTGGTGATTGGCCCAAAGTCGCCAGTTGGCTTTCATGTCTAAGGTGGGACTAGAACCCACCGTCTCCTGGCGATTGGCCCAAAGTTGCCAGTTGGTTTTCTCTTTCTCTCCTCTCTGCCAGGTCTCTTCCCTCGGAAGCGGCAGTGACCACGTCATGGATGCCATCTCCCAGTGCGAGCAGTTTGCCAAGGAACAGGGCGCCCAGGAACGCAACGCCCCCTGGCGGCTCTTCTTCAGGAAGGAGATCTTTACCCCCTGGCACAACCCCACCGACGACTACGTTGCCACCAATCTCATTTACCAGCAGATCGTCAGAGGGGTGAAGTTTGGGGAGTACCGGTGTGATAAGGTAAGCTGGCATTGGAAGTCCCTGCTACGCTCAGAATTTGGGATGAATCCAAATCTTGGATAGAAAAAGAACTTGGATCCTAAGATGGGGGTCTCTGAGGAGAAAAGCTGTGGGGCCAGCATTTTTGATGTTATTTTATGAGTGGCGTTTTCTTTTGGTATTACTGCAGCCAGCCACTAAGAGTTGTGTCTCTCAAAAAGGGTTTTCATCTGGTTCAATCAGTCAGTCAGTCAGTCAGTCAGTCAATCAATCAATCAATCAATCAATCAATCAATAGTACAAGTCTTTAGATTTGGACAGGGTCATTTTGAGCAACAATATTAGTATAGGTCAGGGGTAGGCAACTTTGGCTCTTTTATGACTCGTGGACTTCAACTCCCAGAATTCCTCAGCCAGCTATGCTGAGGGGAAAGGGAGAGGTTTCCAAGCTGAGCCATGCTGGCTCAGGAATTTTGGGAGTTGAAGTCCATGAGTCATGAAGGGGGCCATAGTTTCCCCATGATGGCTGAGGAATTCTGGGAGTTGAAGTCCACAAGTCATGAAGGAGCCATAGTTCCCCCATGCTGGCTGAGGAATTCTGGGAGCTTAAGTCCCCGAGTCATGAAGGGGCCATAGTTCCCCCATGCTGGCTCAGGAATTCTGGGAGCTTAAGTCCCCGAGTCATGAAGGGGCCATAGTTCCCCCATGATGGCTGAGGAATTCTGGGAGTTGAAGTCCACGAGTCATGAAGGGGCCCTAGTTCCCCCATGCTGGCTCAGGAATTCTGGGAGTTGAAGTCCCTGAGTCATAAAAGAGCCAAGGTTGCCTACCCCTGGTCTAGTGGTTAAGGTACTAGGCGAGAAAGCAGAAGGCTATGAGTTCCTGTCCCGCCTTAGGCATGAAAGTCGGCTAGGTAACTTTGGGCCGATCACCAGAGACTGTGAGTTCTAGTCCCAACTTATGTATAGAAGCCACCAGGTTGACTTTGGGCCAATCACCAGGAGACGGTGGCTTCCAATCCCGCTTTAGGCATGAAACAAACAAACAAACAAATACATGATTGACTGACTGACTGACTGACTGACTGACTGACTGACTGACTGAATGAATGAATGAATGAATGAATGAATGTTGGAATGCAGCTGGGAAGGTCACAATGTGTGATTATGACCCCAGAACACTGCAATCATAATAAATACACACTGGCTACGAAGCACTGAATTTTGATCATGTAACCGTGGGTATGTCGTAATGGTTTTTAAGTGTGAGGACTGATTATAAGTCACTTTTCCAGTGTCGTCGTAACTTCAGGTGGTCACTAAACAAATACTGTAAGTTGAGGACTACCTGTAGTCCATTACAGCACGGGTCCCCAACGTCTGGTCCAGGACCGGTACCAGTCTGCGCCCGCCCCTCCCCCATCAGGAACCGGGCCGCAGAAGCAAGCAAAGCCCCATTCCATGCATGTGCGGCATCCAGGCCCCCTCCAGTCCGCAGGGAAAACTGCCCTCCCCAGAACCGGTCCCTGGTGCTGAAAAGCTTGGGGGATCCCTGCATTGACAGGATGTTTAGATTTATTTTTTCCTTATTTACGACAATAGTTTTATTGCTTTGTCAAAATATAAAATGCAAACAGAAATTCAAAAAAGCAATGGAAAACTAGAAGAAGGGGGCGGGAAAGGAAAAAAAATAGCGTAAAGAGGGAAAAGAAAGAAAAAAGATACCAATGTTGTTATCTTCTGCCGTGCTAAAGAGAGTCGGAAGATATTGATTGATTGATTGATTGATTGATTGATTGATTGATTGATTGATTGATTGATTGGTTGGTTGATTGATTGATTGATTGACTGGCTCTTCCTGTATGCCTTTACAGGAGGAAGACATGGCCGAGTTAGCTTCCCAGCAATACTATGTGGATTATGGATCCGAAATGGTCCTGGAGCGCCTCCTGAATCTGATCCCCTCCTACATCCCGGATCGAGAGATCACCCCTTCCAAAACCGTGGAGAAGTGGGCCCAGTTTATCATCGCTGCCCATAAAAAGGTAAAGCAGATGGATGTCCTTTGCAATGGGAGGGAGGGAAGAAGGCAGGACAGGTCCAGCTGAAGCTGCCTGCCCAACTTCGTAGCAGGGTCATCTGCAGTGGATAAGGCACATGCTAGAACGAAAGGGACCATGAGTTCAAGTCCTGCCTTAGGCTTGAAAGCCAGCGGAGTAACTTTGAGCCAATCACCAAAGAGATGGTGGGTTCTAGTCCCGCCTTAGGCATGAAAGCCAATTGCCAACTTTGGGCCAATCACGAAAGAAACGGTGGGTTCTAGTCCCGCCTTAGAAATGAAAGCCAATTGCCTAATTTTGGGCCAATCACGAAAGAGACGGTGGATTCTAATCCTGCCTTAGGCTTGAAAGCCAATTGTCAACTTTGGGCCAATCACGAAAGAGACGGTGGGTTCTAGTCCCGCCTTAGGCATGAAAGCCAATTGCCTAACTTTGGACCAATCACCAAAGAGATGGTGGATTCTAGTCCCGCCTTAGGCAAGAAAGCCAATTGCCTAACTTTGGGCCAATCACAAAAGAGACGGTGGGTTCTAGTCCTGCCTTAGGCATGAAAGCCAATTGCCTAACTTTGGGCCAATCACCAAAGAGACGGTGGGTTCTAGTCCCGCCTTAGGCATGAAAACCAGCTGAGTAACTTTGAGCCAATCACCAAAGAGATGGTGGGTTCTAGTCCCGCCTTAGACATGAAAGCCAATTGCCTAACTTTGGGCCAATCACCAAAGAGACGGTGGGTTCTAGTCCTGCCTTCAGCATGACAGCCAGCTGAGTAACTGTGAGCCAATCACCAGGAGACTCCAAGTTCAAGTCCCGCCTTAGGCATGAAAACTGGCTGGGTGACTTTGGGCTGGTCACTCTCTCTCTCTCAGCCCAACCTACCTCACAGGGCTGTTGTGGGGAAAATAGGCAGAGGATGGTATGGGATATGTTCACTACCTTGAGCTATTTGTAAAATTAATAAAAGTGGGATATATATGAATGAATGAATGAACGAACGAACGAACGAACGAACGAACAAACGAACGTCAGTTGTAAATGAGCTATCAAACTCCCCGTCTCTTTTAGGCATCTAAACAGAGGCCAAGTCCCAAAAACTGGATGGGGTTGGGCATTACCCAAATTGAATGAAATAAATACATAAATTTATTTACATGGTTTTCCCAGTTGCAATCTGTGGCTGTGAAAGTTGGACCATAAGAAAGGCTGAGCGCCAAAGAATGGAGGCCTTTGAACTCTGGTGCTGGAGAAGACTCCTGCGAGTCCCCTGGACTGCAAGGCGATCCAACCGGTCAGTCCTGGAGGAGATCAACCCCGACTGCTCCTTAGAAGGCCAGATCCTGAAGTTGAAACTCAAGTACTTTGGCCACCTAATGAGAAGGAAGGACTCACTGGAGAAGAGCCTAATGCTGGGAAAGATGGAGGGCAATAGAAGAAGGGGACGACAGAGAATGAGGTGGCTGGATGGAGTCACTGAAGCAAGAGGTGTGAGCTTAAAGGGATTCCAGAAGATGGTAGAGGACAGGAAGGCCTGGAGGAACGTTGTCCATGGGGCCGCGATGGGTCGGACACGACTTCGCAACTAACAACAACAAATTATTTTTATGTATTTATTACATTTATATGCCGCCAAACTCTGAATTTCTCTTTGTGGCATTGTTGAACTGGTTTTTCAGGAGAGCAAGCAGCATGTCTGCTGTTTCCTGTTGCACATCCTTCCACATGTTTTTCAACACATGTTTAAACACCGGAATGGGCTCACTTTACGGACGCTAAACAAATACGATAATGCTAAGGAATATAAAGCAGGCTCTCATCCTTGCTAACCTAAGAGAAGAGCAACGAAGATGGTCAGGGGACTGGAGGCTAAAATGTATGAAGAACGGTTGCTGGAACTGGGTATGTCTACTTTAACGAAAAGAAGGACTAAGAAAGACATGATAGCAGTCTTCCAATATTTGAGGGGCTGCCCCAAAGAAGAGGGAGTCAAGCCATTCTCCAAAGTGCCTGAAGGCAGGACAAGAAGCAACGGATGGAAAATAATCAATCAGAGAAGCAACCAAGAACTAAGGAGAAACTTCCTGGCAGTGAGAACAATTAACCAGTGGAACCACCTGCCTCCAGAAGCGGTGAATGCTCCAACACTGGAAGTTTTTAAGAAGAGACTGGACAGCCGTTTGTCTGAAATGGTATAGGGTTTCCTGCCTGAGCAGGGGGTTGGACCAGATGACCTCCAAGGTCCCTTCCAACTCTTCTGTTGTTCTGTTAATCCATGTCAACAATCAAGACTTTCTTCTTTGCCTTCCAGGGAATTTATACTCAGAAGAGAGTGGACCCAAAGCGAGTTAAAGAAGAGGTGGTGGATTTTGCCCGTTTTAAGTGGCCTTTGCTGTTCTCCAGATTCTACGAAGCATTTAAGTTTTCAGGTAAGCCAAAAGTTTCCCTTCGCTCGAAGACCGCGAACTCATGCTACTGCACAACAGGTAGGGATCACTAATGCAATTGTGTTGTCAACTTTTTCCTGACCCCCGAGGGTTCCTCTGCAGGCATTTGGTAAGCCCCAAGCATTTGTGTCAAAGCGTGCACAGTCTTATTGTGCTGAGATAACCCAGGAGTAAACACAGTAAACAGTGGTCTATATTAAATGGTGGTTTATCTTACACTATCTACAATATCATACGCCAGGAACAATATACATACACGTGCTAATACAGCAGGCTGCAACACACAGCCATTACAGCAGGAAAACGGAAGAGAGAGAACACATCAGCGGAGCCTTCCCTTTTATACAAAGGCTCTTAAAGAGACACAGACCCTGCTGAGTCATTCCCATCATTACATCTTAAATCTTACATTACATAAGCTGGTTAGCTGTTAAATCAGGAGTCTTCAAACTTGGCTCTTTTATGACTTGTGGACTTCAACTCCCAGAATTCCTCAGCCAGGAATGCTGGCTGTTTAGAGATGCAGTTGCTGTTAAGTGAATCACCGCAGTTGTTAAATTGGCAGCATAGATGTTATGTGAATCTGGCTTCCCCATCCACTTGGTCCGTCGGAAGGTTAAGTGTAAAACCCAATTTTACCACCTCTTTTGCCATGGTTGCTAAGAAAAACACTGCAGTCGTTAAGTGAAACATGCAGTCGTTAAGCGAATCTGGGGTCCCCCCGTTGACCTTGCTTCTCAAAAGCCAGCTGGGAAGGTCACAAAAGGGGATCGATCACCTGACCCTACAATAATAATAATAATAATAATAATAATAACAACAACAACAACAACAACAACAACAATAATGATGATGATGATAAAGTTGGAAGGAACCTAATCATCCTAAGATACGTCCTGGTTGTGTTTTGTGTATTTTGATTACATGAGCATGGGGCTACTGGGATGGTTGTCAGAGGGAGGAAGGAAGGAAAGGAAGGAAGGAAAGAAAGAAAGAAGGAAAATAATGACAGGGAGGGATGGAGGAAGGAAGGAAGGGAGGGAGGAAAGAAGGAAAATAATGACAGGGAGGGATGGAGGAAGGGTGAAAAATGGGGAAAGGGACAAAGGAAGAAAAGGAGAGGTAGGGAAGAAAGAAATGACAATAGTACAGAACAGAATATAGTATAGAATAGAATAGAATAGAATAGAATAGAATTGCAGAGTCGAAGGGGCCTTGGAGGTCATCTAGTCCAACCCCCTGCCCAAGCAGGAGACCCTACACCATTTCTGACAGATGGCAGTCCAGTCTCTTCTTGAAAGCTTCCAGCGATGAAGCTCCCACAGCCCGAGGACCCTTTTGTAAGTCACTTTTTTCAGTCCCGTTGTAACGGTCTAACGGTTGCTAAATGAACCATTGTAAGTCGAGGACTATCTTATCAAACCTGTGCGTTAAAATAGGCAAACCGCCATTCCTTTGAGCAAGATGGTTCGGGGTGAAACCACACCTGCCTTTCCTTCATTTTTTTCCTGCATTTTTCTTTTTTTCCTAACACCAGGTCCCAGCCTTCCGCAAAATGAGCTGATTGTAGCTGTGAACTGGACTGGGGTCTATTTTGTAGATGAACAAGAACAGGTCCTTCTGGAATATTCCTTCCCAGAGATAACTGCGGTCTCCAGCAATAGGTAAGACCTTAAAAATTAAAAAAAAAAGAGGTAATCCATAACTGCACGAACAGTGCCCTAGGGAAGCGGTTCTCAACGTCGCCAACTTTAAGATGGGTGGACTTCAACTCCCAGAATTCCCCAGCCAGCATGGCTGGCTGGGGAATTCTGGGAGTTGAAGTCCACCCATTTTAAAAGTTGCCAATACTGTTCTAAGTGGTCATTTCCAATTTTCTACAGAATGGGATCCTGACAGGCAGTCTTAAAGTCTTGTATGTCAGCCTCATTCTGCCCGCGGGCAAAATTGGTGATAATTTCTCGCCAGCAAATCAGAACTCTGAAGCCAAAGCCCAGGACACAGACAAACCCCCAAGTGGCCTCAACGACCCTCTAAAAGAAGGCAAATGACCAGCTGTCTGCAAGGAGTATAAATCCTGCCATTCCCCACCAATCCAGTCAGAGCTGAAGAAGCTTCTTGGGTGTCTATGGAGCTTCTCCATCCTCCAGGTCAGGGTTGTCCCAAAGGTGCTTTTTCAGGAGGCAACTGGACTTCCTTTGTTTTTCTTTGAAGACGTTTCGCTTCTCATCCAAGAAGCTTCTTCAGTTCTGACTGGATGGTGGGGAATGGAAGGATTTATACTCCTTGCAGAAAAACTGGTCATTTGCCTCCTTTTAGAGAGTCGTTGAGGCCACTTGGAGGTTTATCTGTGTCCTCGGGGTCACCTGAGTAGGGGTGCAAATGGGTGTGGAGCCTTCTTGGAGCTGCTGAAAGGACTGTGTTGTAGACTGGAGATGGGTGATGTCGTTTATATTTATATTCCTTGTAGACAGCTGGTCATTTGCATCCTTTTAGAGAGTCGTTGAGGCCACTTGGAGGTTTATCTGTGTCCTGAGTGTCACCTGAGTGGTGCAAATGGCTGTAGAGCCTTCTTGGAACTGTGGAAAGGATTGTGTTGTAGACTGGAGATAGATAGATCACTCATTTGCACTATTCCAGTGATCTTGAAAACACAGGTAAGCCTCCAAGTGGCCTCAACGACCCACTAAAAGAATGCAAATGACCAGTTTTTCTGCAAGGAGGATAAATCCTTCCATTCCCCACCCTCCAGTCAGAGCTGAAGAAGCTTCTGGGATGAGAAGCAAAAGGACGTCAAAGAAAAAACAAGGAAGTCCAGTTGTCTCCTGAAAAAAAGCACCTTTGGGGCAACCACGACCTGGAGGACTGAGAACCTCCATAGACGTGTGTGTGTGTGTGTGTGTGTGTGTGTGTGTGTGTGTGTGTGTGTGTGTGTGATGGACACACAACGAGTCCACCTGAAGTCATCTACTTCCTTCTACAGGATTCTTTCTCTAATAGCCAGGTTGTGTTCGCCCAAGTTAGCCAGGCCGATATTTTTTGCCAAGGGGGTTGGGAAGACTTCTAAGCGTGAAATGTTGGGTCTCTTTCCCTTTTTGGTCCTGTTTTCGGCAGCGGAGGAAAACTCCAGGGGCAGAGTTTCACCTTGGCGACCATCAAAGGCGACGAGTACACCTTCACCTCCAACAACGCAGAGGACATCCGGGACCTGGTGGTCACCTTCCTGGAAGGGCTGAGAAAGAGATCGAAATATGTGGTGACGCTGCAGGACAATCCGAATCCGGGTGAGCCGAGGAGCCAGCCGAAAGGGGTTTTGAAGGGAATGGAGGGAGTTAGTTCCTCGAGTGAAAAAAGCTTTCCTTGCCTTTTCCTCTCCTTCCCTTTTTTTCTCCCTTCCTTCCTTCCTTCCTTCCTTCCTTCCTCCCTTACCTCTCCTCCCTCATCTCTCGCCCTTCCATCTCTCTCCTTCCTTCCTTTCTTCCTTCTTTTCCTTTCCTTTCCTTTTCTCCTATCTTCTTCCTCTTTCTTTGATGCCCTTTCCTTCCTTCCTTCTTTCCTTCCTTGCTCTCACCCTCACCCCTCACCCTTCCGTCTCTCTTTCTTTCTTCCTTTTTTTCTTTTTCTTTCTTTTTCTCCCTTCCCTTTTCCTATCTTCTTCCTCTAATGCCCTTTCCTTCCTTCCTTCCTTCCTTCCTTTCCTTCCTTCCTTCCTTCCCTACTCTCACCCTCACCCCTCACCCTTCCATCTCTCTTTCTTTCTCTCTTTCTTCCTCTCTCTCTTTCTTTCCTTCCTTCCTTCCTTCTTTCCTTCCTTCCCTACTCTCACCCTCACCTCTCACCCTTCCATCTCTCTTTCTTTCTCTCTTTCTTTCTTTCTTTCTTTCTTTCCTCCCTTGCTTCCCTCCTTCCTTCCTACTCTGACCCTCACCCCTCACCCTTCCATCTCTCTTTCTTTCTTTCTCTCTTTCTTTCCTTCCTTCCTTCTTTCCTTCCTTCCCTACTCACCCTCACCCCTCACCCTTCCATCTTTCTTTCTCTCTCTTTCTTTCTTTCCTTCCTTCCTTCTTTCCTTTCTTCTTTTCTTTATTTCCTTCCTTCCCTACTCTCACCCTCACCCCTCACCCTTCCATCTCTCTTTCTTTCCTTTTTTCCTCCTTTCCTTTTTCTTTCATTTTTTCCCCTTCCCCTTTCCTCCTGTCTTCTTCCTCTTCCTTTGATGCCCTTGTCCTTCCTTCCTTCCTTCCTTCCTTCCTTCCTTCCTTCCTTCCTTCCTTCCTTCCTTCCTTCCTTCCTTCCTTCCTTCCTTCCCTCCTTTTCTTTCTTTCCCTGGTATAGGTAGTAATAGTAGTAGTAATAGGAGTCTACAATTAGATTCACAGTTCTAAAACGGATGAAACCAGTTTGGCCATAGTTCCCCCATGCTGGCTCAGGAATTCTGGGAGTTGAAGTCCACGCGTCATGAAGGGGCCATAGCTCCCCCATGTTGGCTGAGGAATTCTGGGAGTTGAAGTCCACCAGTCATGAAGGGGCCATAGCTCCCCCATGTTGGCTGAGGAATTCTGGGAGTTGAAGTCCACCAGTCATGAAGGGGCCATAGTTCCCCCATGCTGGCTCAGGAATTCTGGGAGTTGAAGTCTGCAAGTCATGAAGGAGCCGTAATTCCCCCATGCAGGCTGAGGAATTCTGGGAGTTGAAGTCCACGCGTCATAAAAGAGTCAAGGTTGCGTACCCCTGTTCTAGTTCGTCTTTGGTCTTAAGAGGTTCATTGGACAGGAGCCCAGATGATCATGGCAACCACACAGAGGCCTTCTCTAAATGGACACCAGATATAATAGAATAGAGCTGGAAGGGATCTTGGAGGTCTTCTAGTCCAGCCCCCTGCTAGAGCAGAAGACCCTATACCATTTCAGACAAGTGACTGTCTAGCCTCTTCTTAAAAATCTCCAGTGATGGAGTGCCCACGATTTCTGGTGGCAAGCTGTTCCACTGGTTGATTGTCCTCACTGTCAGGAAGTTTCTCCTTAATTCCAGGTTGCTTCTTTCTTTGATTAGTTTCCAGCCCTTGTTTCTCGTCCTGCCCTCTGGTGCTTTGGAGAACAACCTGACCCCCCCCCTCTTCCTTGTGGCAGCCCCTCAGGTACTGATCTCTCTCTCGTCCTCCCCGCTGAGGTTTTCCAATTCTGTTCTCCTTCCAGCTGGTGATGATTCCGGTTTTCTCAGCTTCCTGAAAGGAGATTTGCTGCTTCTGGACCAAGACACGGGAGAAAACGTGATGAACTCCGGCTGGGCCAACGGACTCAATGAACGGACCAAGCAGAAGGGAGACTTTCCAACCGATTCGGTCTACGTCCTGCCCACGATGACCACGCCTCCCCCGGACATCGTGGTAAAGCCCTCGACACACTCTTTTTTTTTTAATTTTTTATTATTTTTTTCAAATGAACATATGAACAAGTAATACAAATATGGTGCATTTCATTAGAAAAACAAACACATAAAAAACCTACTCAGTAGGTATTCAGAAATAATCGGCGTTTCCCCCCCCCTGCATCCACACTCCCTCCACCTTCCTACCTACTTCCCTCTTCCTTCCTCCCCCTCTTGACCACCACCTCTCCTCTTTCCTCCTTTCCAACTATCCTACACATCCCATCACCTTCTTTTCCACCACCTCGGATGCAGTTTAGGGGTACTAGCCGATTATCTCCTCTTCTTAAAGACAAACATTTACATTATGTTTATAAATACACCAAATTTTATATAATTCTACCCCTTCATCCCCTTCCCCCCTCCCCCCCCCGGACTTCCCAGAACTGAGTACAGGGATAAATACATAACATCCCAAGTCTAAATTAAGCTATCCATTCATAATACAAACAAAATTAGCATACTTTAACTCTAACATACAATAATAAACTTGAATATAATATATATATATATA